GGGGGGGGCGAGGACAAAAGCGGGAAGACGGAAAGGAAAACATAGTAAAAGATGAAACTATGGGTTAGTAAGATTGCAAAACAGGGAAAGATCAAAAACAGCCTGGAAAAGGAAGAAGAAAAATAAAAAGTAGAGGACGAAAAAAGAGGAATAAATAGCAACGCGCACCAAACTAGCCGGTGTGATTATGCGTTCTGTGCAATTCAGCTCATCGAACGATTGTCTATTAATGATTTTCACTGCTTTGTACTTTTGTCTATGCAAAAATAGTTCAAAAATTGGAAAATAGTTAAAAATGTCACGTACCAACGCATGAAAGCTGAATTCGAAACCTTGATGGGTGAATATCTTCCCGTGATCCCGAGTTAATAGTTTAACCGTCAAAATTCTCACGAGGCCGCAGGTGATACCCAATAGCGAGGGAACGCTGAACTTGAATAGACAAGGTTGAGCATGGGCAGGGGGTTATGATCCTAAAATTTCAGCTTCCTAGACCCCGTGGTTCCTGAGATAATAATTTACCCGTGAAGACTTTCACTAGCCTGTAGGTGGTGCCCGAGAGCGTGAAAACGCTGAATTTGAATGGGCAAGATTGAGCGTGGGCAGGAAGTCATTACACTAAAATTTCAGCTTCCTAGACCCGTGGTTTCCGAGATAATAATTTACCCGTAAAAAAATTTCACGGGGCCGTACGTGTTACCTGCGGGTACGGAAAGCCTGAATTTAAATTTGCCGCATCACCCACTGGTGGAAAACACTGTACCAAAATTTCAGCCGCCTAGCTTTTGCGGTTCCCGAGTTGAAAGTGTGAAACAAAATGTGGGACACACACACAGACAACCCCGTGACAATATGCGTTTTGTAACTCTCTTACACAGCACAAAACGCATAAAAATGGAGGAAGTAAATTGAACTAAATAAGGTTAACGACAGGATTAGTGCAGGATAAAAACAGCTGTGAGGAAAAATCATGCAGGAGTTGTAATTAACTTCTTCAGGTCGTATACAGACAGGGAATATTCATCAAAAATCACAGCTGTTCAATCTAGCTCTCTTATTTGCATGGCACCAACAATATTCCTATCAAAATTTTGCATGTCCATACGCGATTTGTAACGCTTACTTAAGGGCCTGATTTTTAATTGGCTGGATTACAATCAGACAAGGAATAAGGTTGCGAAATTTCAATTTGCCAGCTTTTCTGTTCTACAAAATCGTTTTCCTGCCAAAATATTTTTTGCGGTCCTTACATGGAAAATAAGGGGAAGTGAGCTTTCAATTCATGCCTGGAGAATCATCCCCAAAGTGGTAGATTAAGCTGACAAAATTGCACCTTCATAACATTCGTAAATTTGGAAACTGAGATCTGAGAACCGACATACACACATACATACACACAAGCTTTCCACAATATTTGCTTTTTACTCTGCACAGATGCAAAAAAAAGCATGAAAAACATAAAACTGACCTGTAGGCTCTCTGTAAATGCTGCATTTTCTCCCTGCAGTCGTGAATAATGCATCTGTAAAAAAAAAACCACACAATGAATTTGACTTAGGAACATTCAAGCAAGAGTTACTAAAGTGATGCACACAAAAGCAACGCATTATATTCCCGAGAAAATCCCAAATAATCATGGGCTTCCGCACTCAGCTAAATTCAATTTCTATGTGAAGAGTCGCAGAAATCGCTCGTGTTGTCTGTTTTATAAAAGCAAGCTGATGGCGGTTTTGACTCACTGGCACAAATTTGTACCATATCACTGTCGAAACGAACTAACCAGCCGTAAAGGAGGCGCAGCCGAAATTTTAACTTTTTCAGCATGAGAGATTTACGACTGCGCAGGACTAATATACCGTAATTGATGTTTATTAAAACAATTTTATTTTAAAATAATTTTTTTTTTGAATCTCAATATTTAAACACTTAAAAATTGTGTTCAGAGTTGCACCTAAAAGGAGTCATAGGCTATCAAGATCTTTCAGAATTTGTAAACCGATTCTAACAATCTGAATTTAACAATTTTTTAGCTGCAATTATGCATAAAATTTTTAAATATTCAAATATTAATGCGTTTTGGTGTCGTTCAAATAATACGAGCAAACCAGTTTTAACAAGCTTTCCATTTATTTTCAAAGCTCGCAGCTTAGCATTTGCGAGAAACAGAGTAGGATTTTTTGGGAGTTTATATTTTCGGGGGTAAACGTGCTTTAATGCTGAATTTCAAATATTTGGTTCGTACATGAGCGTGGAATATCGCCGAAAAATTTTGGCTCCCTTGTTTGGCTGGTTGGTGAAATCACTTTTCGTCACAAATATCTCTGACGCGTTCGAACGCGCGATAAAGAGGAATATGCTAAAGTTCCTTTTCAACCCATGTGCCTCTTATGGACAACAAATATTCTCAAAAAGTCAAGGTATTCAGCCAACGAAATTTCGACCTCAACTTTGATGTGTCAGTACATGTGACGTAGGGGTGCGTACTGCTAAATTTGAAAGTTTACAGAAGGCCATGGAAAATCCCTGCGAAAACTCAGTTTCCCATTTTGTCTGCTTCCCGAAATCGTTTCTCCGCCAAAACTTTTTCATGTTCTTTGCCAAATGCCTCTACGCCGGGCCCTAACGTGCGTGAATGATGATTTTAAAATGCGTGGGTCGCACATGGGGTAAGGAACACTCCAAAAATTTCATCTCCCTAGCTCTTCTGGCTGTCGAGTATAAAGTGGGTGACGAAGTGCGAACACACAAACTTTTATGCGTTTATTGTCAAAAGTTTGTCTGCAGGCATGTATGTGCGTATGTGCATGTTTATGTCATATATACATTTATAGACACATACATGTTACATACACAAATACATACAATTCTTTGAAATAAGCATTTTTGCATTCCCATAAACATGCAAAAAAAAATAAGTTTTTTCTTTTTTTTTCCATTTTCTTTTGCTTTTTTAATTTAACATAAAAGGAAAAATTTGAAGCTGCACAGAACCGGAAATATAACAAAAGGATTAAGCTTTTCGTCCTGGCGGGGAATCCTACAAAAGCGCAAAAAGTTTTTGTAAATTTAAAAAAAAAAGAAAAAATGAACTCACCAATGCATTACACACAGGACAAGTGATGCAAACAAAATCGTTTGGCAGGAAAAGGAATGAGCGATGAACACACTCGGAGGGAATAACAATACGTAGCTCGCCACCGTACACCTTCCTCTGATATTCAAATTCACTAGCCGGTTGATAATGAAACATACAAGCCGCCGTAAATCCCATATTTGAACAATCCAACACCTGGCTTTGTTTCTGCAAAAATAGCACTAAAAAGCGCTGAAAAATGGTCCCCAACAGGAGAGACTATTGTAAAACTTTTCTTTGTACAAAATCCCAGATTCATGCGGCGCATTTTAATCCAAAATGTATAAAATACATCACCAAACTTTCGCCTCTTCCCCTCCCCCAATCCTACAATTACAGCTCTTTCCTTTTTTTCTTTACATCTTTCTTTATCTCTTTTCTATTCTTTTTCGTCATATACTGCGACTGTCATACTGACAAGGTCCTGTTGCGCTGTTCAGTTAAGACGTATATGACTTAATGGACCGAAAAGTCTTATCTCACTCTTGCCTCCTTTTCACATTTTTTCCTGCTTTACTGTCCAATAAGCCTTTAACACTTTGCCATCCAAGGTCAACCTGGATACTACAATCGGCTTACTCAGACGAGCTGTAACTTCGCAAAATTCGACGGTAACTACTCATAATTCTGATCAAAATTCGCAAAATATGCAATGTGCTAAACTATACCTGCCAGTTACATTCATTGAGCATTATGTGTTCAAAGACAACAAGACCTCGAGTGTCACCCAAATCACAATTTTTACAGAAATACATTATAACTTGTGCGTGTGCATTGAGCATATGGTGGTAGAGACGATCTTCCTGAAAAAAAAAAACCTCAGTCAGTGACAATAGTTAAAAATCGAATAAAAACTTGGGGAATTTGTTAATGAAACTGGATTTCATACAATAATGCCCAAAGCGACCCCAGACAACTTTCAAAAAGTCAGTAATCTGAGCACGCATTTCGCTTCGTCAATTAGCTCAACCTTTTCCAGTGGACTTCGATTCTGTTTCTTGCACTTTTCATTTGCACGCGCACGACGGATAACTGTAATTACTCTTAAAACTTAAGCCTTGGTTCGAATCCACTGGGAGGGGAAAAGTACTCCCCTCCCTCATCCCCCCTCCTCCTCTCCCCGACCCTCGCCCCGTTGTCCGGTGCCACTAAATGATACTGCCACATACCAGATAAACCAAGCCATTTTTAGATTACTTTTAAATAACCCTAAGAAGAGAATGGCACGAGAATTCGTAGCAAAAAATGGCTGCTTTTAGCAAAGTATTATTATTCGGACCAAATCCAAATGGTTCTGCACACAATTAAGAATGAAATTGGAGTGAAATCTGTTTTCTAATGTTGTCGATTTGAAGAAGCTGCCTGAAACGGAAGTACGCGAACGTCTTCTGCGCTCCCTACGGATCGGTAAATTCAGATTTTTGGATCAAATATGCATCAAGCAAAATGTACTTACCGAAGAATAAGTGATCTGACATCGTGAACAGACATAAACCAACTGCTGCTTCTCGGGCGTAGGCACATGCTGACTGCGATGGCTATTTATCTGCTCCTCACTGAATGTTACAACTGAGCAACGTGGGCAATTATGTAGTGTGCCATGGGTTCGCATATGCATCTGATATGTTGTTTTTGATTCATAGGCCAAACAACACAACCGACAAATGTAAAATGATGATTCGGTCGGTACTCCGTAAACCTGAACGAACACACAAAATCAGCAGCAGAGACTAACTTTCGAAATGTCGCGAAAGAAGAAGTCTGTATGCAGTCCATGTTTCAGTCCCTAGCTACGAACACAAGCACAGTATCGAAGGTGAGTAAGAGTGGAAATCATCAGTACAGCCATCCATCCGCCATGTGCGAAATAAGCTTATTTAAATATGTAAGAACAAAATAACTCGATAAGCCTACTTTCACGTACTGCGAAAAATAGATTTTTTTAAAAAGCTCGTTTCTGCGATTTCCTATAGGCACAAATGATAAAGT